TACCGAGACAGAGCTGATCACAAACAGCACCACTGTAAAGTGCAACTATCCAGACCTGTTCTCACTGGGAGGGGAAAAAAAATCGCCAGGAAAAGTATTCCTTAAAGGTTCCAGACTGAAAACGTTCAGAGTTACTGATGGAACTTAGAAAACATTTCAAACTGTTTACAAAGTTCTAGCAGTAGTTACTGAAATTACAAAATAAAAAATTGTCTTAATGTTTTACAAAAGTCCTTAAATTACAAAACTTTTTGTTCCTTGTCACTGAAAGTTATTCTTCACGTCATTATAATGGGCATATTTTAGCATTTAACATCTTAGAGTAACAAATGCTGAGTTTAAGGAGGTAAGAGATTGAAAAGATGGTACTTAAAATATAATTCAAAATATTACATTATATATGCTACCATGAATCTGCAAACATGCTCAGTTTCATTAAGAAAAAGCCCTCTTTTATAAAGCGTGCTTCCTTCATACTGTCAAATTATTTCTTCCTTCAGCAAATTAATGAAATAAAAAAATCGCATGATTTTTTTTTTTAAATAGAAGCAAATTAATTCCAGGCCCCACAAAACCAGTGATAGTCATTTATTTTAGAGCTTTAACGTTTGGCCAGCAAGGCAGTCTAACACTAATGATTTGGCACCGGTCTTCCAACTAAGTGACAAAGTCAAGAATGTGAAGATCTCCAGGAGATGTACTCCCACATCTTCTATGGAAACACAAAAAATTTTGTTTTCTCAACTAAAAAAGTTACAGTAATCCCCCAGAAATCACAGTGGTAAGACAGAAAGATCTCTTTGCAAGATCTTTACTAAGAATTAATCAAAGCAAAACAGCCATCCTGGTGATAATCCCCTTTAGTGCTTCACAGTTTATGCAATAGTCAATTACTAAAGAGGATGAAAGACAGAACAATCTTTGCAAATAGGTCACTGTCTATATTTATAACGATTAAAACCTGCCTGCTACTAAAAGTAACTTTTAATGAGCATAAAAAGCAACATTAAGACAGCACACGTATTTTACTCTTAAATATATTCTATGTCTCCTATGACAGGCAAGGAGGTGACACTCATGAGAAACAAAGTTATTTCACATAGGTTATGTATTAGCATTGCTGAAAGCAGGTTTTAATTTCTGTCATAATGATTTTATTCCAAAGTATCATCCTAACCATTCTTGACACGATGTCTGAATTTACACAACTCTTTCCTCGTCTGCACACCTTCTCTCTCTCAATACTTGTTAGTAGATTTTACCTGCAAACACTGCCCAAAGCTCCTTTTCAAGACCACTTTTAATGCCTTCCACTTTTGCTTCAACTTTTCTTTCCTGTTTAGGCATGCCAAAGCATGTAATATTTTTTTCTTCAGAACAATTACTCAGGGCTGTAGTGCATACTGTTGGGACCTCCTTCTTTCAAGTATTGTCCGTCTTCTGCTACAGAACTCTCCTCTTTCAAAATTTTCCTTTTTCCCCCATCCCTGGCCTCTCTGAGGAGTATTTTCTGCCCTTCCTGTGGGACCAGGGCATCACACCTGACACCAGTTTCCTAAAATTTTCTTGAATTTCATTGATTCTCACAGCTCAAACCACCACCATGTCAGTGATTCTTAAGGCCAGCTATGCACTCCTGAACCATTTCATTCAACTCCAATTCTACCTGCAGTTGCCATCTCCACCAGAGATTTACATCTGGTTAAATTGAAGCTTGTTTCCTCTTAAGCCCTACTTCCTCTAATTACCTCCAGCCTTCCTACAGTTCCAGTCCCTAATATTTGATTCTTACAATGCCTTATGCGCCAGAGTTGCACCCAATAATCAGAATTTCTTTGCATTAAATGTCAGGAATATTTATTACCCAGTCCTGATCTTTTGCTTAACCAGATCATTTGCTAACATGTTCATTAGAAAAGTCTTCTGCTCACACTGTCACCTCTCTGCCCTTCATTTCATATAATATTTCAGCTGCTAAAAAATCCTTCCTTTATGCAGTACTTTGGAGACTCTGGATCTTCCAGTATTTCCACAGCCAGCAAGCCTACGAGCTCAAGACTGTACAGCTGCAGAACTTGCACTTCATTACAGGAAAAGAGAAGGAGAATACTCTTCAGAGAATAATGTAACCACCTCTTAGAAGAATCTCATACATTTGTATTCAGGATACTGAAAACACACTGACTGTTGGGCTAGGGCTGAACACTATCACATCAACCCCTCAAAAAAATCACCTACACAAAGGTATTATTAATAAGGTCATTCTAGCTTCTCATCTTACAAATTTAAGAGAAAATACCTGTAGCTTAGAGTTTGTTATAATGCAGACTGCATAAAACTGAACTCCACAGCAGGCAGGGGAGGGAGAACCACAGTCAATCTTGTGAAGTGAAATCCTGTTTGCGCGTGAAAGTTGGGAACTTGATGTTCTCGCTACAGACTACCAGCAATAAAAACAGCTTTCTGAGCCATTAATTTCTGCACAGCTGATTTCTACTAAACAATGCTCATTATTGAAAGAATTCTAAAAAAAAAGGCAAGGCTGTTCCAGTGAGATGGCTGGCGCTCTGAATATCTAGACTGAGCTAACAGTGACATCAGTGCTACTACTGCTTTAATCTCTATGGCTACTAAATGTCAAACATTTTCCTTGTATTTAAAGAGCTTGTGATTGAGCATGATGCGATTAAGTTACCTCACAGTTTTAAAATAAGACAACTGCAAGGCACAGTGAGCATCTGCCATCTTGCCACCCAAGACCATGATAATGGCAAGTTCTTCAGTAACATCAGTCAGAAACTACCGTGCTTTTTCCACAGCTGAAATGTAGCATTTTTAGGATCTGTAATTTTTAAACACTGTGCAAATGTCCATCTTCAAACTTTCCATAACCCAGTGAAGTCTACAAATATGGTCATAGCTGCCCGACTTGAATCTAAACTTATAAATAGGTTGTAGCATTGAGTCAAGTATATTCGGGGGAGTGGGACGGGGGAGAAAGGTGAAAAGACTTAGTGTCAACTGCATCAATGGTCACAAAGTCCGGTGGAAACTGAGCAGCAGGCCATACATTTCTTATTGTTTGACAGAAGACACCCACATAACATTAATTTCATCTACATCTGAGAAGATCCATCAAACTGTAGTCAGCACAGTACAAGGAACTGTCTTAACATCTAATATAAACTTTAGTGTGGTAAACTATTTAAAGTAGGATATACTTTCTAAACATTCCTTAGTATTTTCATAATTTGGCAATCAATTACTATGGCAGTAGATGGGCTACTACACATGCTTCTAAAATAAGCATCTAATAATTATTTTATTCTTCCAAGTTCAAAGTGGCTCATATCAACTACAGCAAGCTAGGACACTGCTGTAAAGAAAGTGCAAGAAAACTGATCAATCTTCACATTGCATAAGCGAGAAATTACTAAACAAAAAAAAAAGAAATTAAATTCAGTAATCCTATTTAATCATTATTGGGGGGGTGTTCAAAATAAAATTGTCATAAAAGATACAAATATTAGAGGCTTTAAGTCTCATAACTAGAGAAACTCTGAATTTCAAAAATGAGGCCAAAAGTAGAGTAGGATATTGAAAAACTACTGATGAGTATTTCAATAAATATATGAGTTCATACAGTTCAAGACTACATAAATCACCCAATCAATCTTGTATCTTTAAGATCTCCCCACACTCACTCATTAAGCTTTGTCTTAATTGTGTCTTATTAGCAAAGTACTGATTCCCAGCACTCCATGATAAGATTTCTAAAGTTAGATCAACTTTTATTTGAATACCACACTTGCGTGAGTTCCTTTGGCACTCTGAATATATGCTGGCAAGTGGCATTTACTAGAATGATCAGTTTGTACCCAAGCAACAACAGTTTCACATTACAGAGTAAGAAAGTTCAAGACCATGGAGCTTTTAACCTTTGAATTTTAAAATAATTCAACATCTCCCTACAGAAAGATTGGGGGGGGGGGGGGGTCTATGT